CTGTATGCACCCTGGATCTGCCTACCCCATTTACCTCCCCAAGGCCTCCTAAGACCCCTTCCTGAGCCCTGATCCCCCAACCTGTGACCCTGCATTATCTCCAGCCCGGTCAAGGGCCCTAGTCAACCTCTGACCTCAAACTTTGACCCCATCTGACTTTCTGACTTCAACCTATAACATGTAGCTGGCAATTGCACTCAAGTGTCTTCTGTTCTGTTCCCACCTTTGACCCCATCTGACCCCGGACCCCATTCATGACCCCCTGTCTGACTCTCAGAGCCCAATCATTGACCCCCAACATTGATTCCAAATTTGACGTATATCTGACCATCCAGCTCAACTATCCCAGTTGTTTCCTTCCATTCTGTTGAACCCATGACCCTAACCATGGACCCCAATAGTTACCTGACCTTGAACTCTATCCTTCACCAAATTTGACTCCTCATTCCCACCCTGTGCGTCCCAGTGTGACCTGCCAACTAAGCCATCGCAACTTATCCCAAATAAGACCCTGATGCTAATGACCCCATTTACTACCTTGACCCTGACCTTGGGTGCTCCCCCCCTGGCTGTTCCCCACTTACCCACCCAAAATCCAGCTTCCCACTGATTCTACCTCTCATCCCCTGGTTCCCTGCCCACTGCTTCTGCACCCCGACCCCTCAGCTACCACGTCTCCCGTGTCATTGAGCCGCCGGCCGCCTCCTGCCCCAGCTCCCCACGTGTCCGGCGGCGAATCAGCCTCACCAAGCGCCTTAGTGCGTGAGTCTCGGGGTGTGTGGGGGGCGATGTGGACAGGGACAGCGGTCTGCTGCTGGGACGGAGTCTGGCTTCAGCCTCCTCTCCTGGCCCTATTCTCAGGAAGCTGTCCCGAGAGAAAGGCTCGTCCCCTGGTGGGAGTCCCGGGGACCCCTCATCCCCCACCTCCAGGTGAGCTTCCCACTTGGTGAAGGGACTGGAGATGACAGAGTCAGAGGTCGGGGCAGCCACCCCACCTTCAGCTCTGTGTCTCCCCTAGTCTGTCCCCAGGGTCCCCCCCGTCCAGTCCTAGAAGCAAGGACCCTCCTCCTGGCAGTCCCCCGGCCTCTCCAGGCCCCCAGGTTCCCAGCACCAAGGTACCGGGCCCTCCCGTGCGCGCACGTGGGACTGCGGGCGCCCAGACTGTGTGTGCGCATGCGCACCGGCGTGCGCGGGCTTCCGGGGCCAGGCATGTGCGAAGGAGGCTGCGCACACAGCTGGCTTGTGCTCAGATCTGGAACCGTGGGTCCGCTTGCCCACAGGGCTCTCCAGGGCGTGATCACACCCTTTTGCGAGGATATGTGTGTCCCCAGGAATTTGCATACGTTAAGGAGAGATGTGGCGTGAATCTCTACAATATCCGCGGGACGTTGGCGGGGCTGTTTGTGGACGTGGGCTCGTGGGTGTACAACAGTTGCGAGCACGTGTGTGTACACGGGATGTCTTGTGTGTGAACGTGGGTTTGTGTGTTTATGGGTCGTGTGTAGCGTGTTTGTGTAACACAGCATGAAGGTCTGTCTGCGGTGGAATTGTGTAGATGTGAGCTGGTGTGCATCCTAATGGCGTGTCCCCAGGCTCTGGGTGTTTCAGGGGATGAGTTGGATACAATGAGGGAGGGGGCTAGTGCTCGGCTCAGCCTCCACCCCGCTGCCTACAGCTGCCCCTGAGCCCAGACCTGCCAGGCCCCCGGCCCCTGGCCTTGTCCCTGAGCGGCCCTTGCATCCCCCTCCTGGGACAGCAGGGCTCGGAGGCCCGTGTCATCCGCGTCAGCATCGATAATGACCATGGGAACCTGTATCGGAGTATCTTGGTGAGCAGCTGGGCTGGGGACCTTCTGGGAGCAGCCCTGCCCTTGGGGTTGGGGCCGTCACCCCTCACCTCCCGCCCTCTCTTCCCAGCTCACTAGTCAGGACAAGGCCCCCAGCGTGGTGCAGCGAGCCTTGCAAAAGCATAATGTGGCCCAGCCCTGGGCCCATGACTACCAGCTCTTCCAAGTCCTTCCTGGGGACCGGGGTGAGCAGGGACCGCTTGGAGGGTGGCAGACTGGCCAGGGTCAAGCATGGCCCTAACAGGGCCATGAGGTAGTTTAGGTACAGAGTAGGGATAAGAGGCAGTCAAATATTTGTGCCTCAATTATGTGGGGTCGTGAGGTTGTCCTGGCTCACTGTGAGGGAGGGGGCACCAAAGATGTCCTCCTAGGATTTATGGGGGAAATGAGATTGTCCAGGGTCAAGTGGGAGAGGGAGTGTAGAATGTTGGCTGGGCTTAAATTTGTAGGATCATGAGGTTGTTCAGGCTCAGCCTGGTGGGGTGGGAGACTGAAGGGGATCTGGGTTTGGATTTGAGGGGAAATGAGTATGTCCATGAAGTTGGCATGGAGAGGGCCACATGGTATTGAAATTCAGGGTAGGGGAGCATGAGGTTTTCAGTGTAGATGTGGGTAGGAGGTTGTCCAGTTTTCAAGACGGAGAGGCAAGAGGTTGATATATAACTGGACATGACATGAGGTTGGCTGAACGTTAGGAAGGAGTACATGAGGTCGTTCAGATGTCAAGGGCGAGGGCCGGAGGTTGTGCAGGCTGGAAGCAGGAAGTTAGAAGTTGTCCAAGTTCATGGTGAGAGCAGCATGACCTTGGCTGGGCATTGGTTGGGGGCAAGGGGGCACAGAAAGTTGTTTGGGCCGGCCGGCCTCAGTTTGCCCAAGCTGCCAGTGTAGGTTGTCTAGACTCCAGGGAGAAATGGCAGGAGGCTGCCCAGGTTCATGGTGGGGAGCAGACTTGAGGTTGCTCAGGCTTCGACTGGGAAGTCATCCAGGTTCCCAATGAGAGGAGAATGAGGTTGGCTTCACCCTGGCTGAAGGGGCCCAAGGTTGTTCAGGCTGCAGGGTGACCAGCAGCACGTTACCGAGGTGCTTTATGGGGCAAGAATGAGGTTGTGCGGGCCTTTGCTCATCATCTCCACCTCTGGCCAGAACTCCTGATTCCGGACAACGCCAACGTCTTCTATGCCATGAGTCCAGCCGCCCCCGGAGACTTCATGCTGCGCCGGAAGGGGGGGGCCCGGCACACAAACTCAGTCTCCCCGACCTGAGGTGGCTCTCTCCTCCCGCCAGGATGCAGACCCCATGGGCAGCTTGGGGCCTGGCCCTGGAAAGCTTGCGTTCCCTAGTAGGGCCCATTGTGCTCCCCAGCCTCCCCCCACCTTATTGGACCCCATCCCTCTGACCCTCTTGGCACCAGATCCCCATTCCAAAGGCATCGGCCCATGGGGGGCCGGTGGAGAGTTTCTTCCTGTAAATATAGAAAGGGAATCACTGGGGGGGTCAGACCCTTCCCCAGAGAAATCTTGTAACCATTGGAGACGCATCAGAACTCACTGAAGTGGATGAAAATAGTGACCAAAGTTATGGACATGTGCCCCGTGTTTACTCTTCATCAAGACAAAAATTTTTTAAAAAGGAGAAAAAAAACTAAGAGCTCTAAGAAAGGGGGGTGGGTGAGGCATGACTGGATGACAGAGGAGGGCCCTGTCACACACACAGAGTTCAGGACTCCCTCCACCAACATTTTGGGGCGATAGGCTTCTTTTCTGCCATGCATATGGAAGAGTGACGAAATGAAATTCCATCGGAATCAGAGACAAATAACATTATGGTCTGTGAGTCAGTAAGGGCTGGGAGCATGAAAGCAGAGGGATGAGCTCTCTATCAGTACTAGGGGAGGAAGAAGAAACAGGTAGGGAAGGCAACGGTGAGCTGTAGGGCCACCTGCAACATACTTATAACAACAACAATAATAGTAACAATAATATGCCCACTTATGAACTCCTATTCTGTGCTGAACACTAGGGGCTTTATAGCTCACTGTATTAATCAGGGTTTTGTCTGTTTCGAGTGGTCAAAACCCCAATTCAAACAGGCATGTGCAAAAAAGGAAATTAATAGCTCGTGTAATTGAAAAGTTCAATGGATCCAGCTTCAGGCACAGTTGGATCCAGGGACTCAAAAAGATGTCATCAGGATTTTGTTGCTGTCTCTTGGCTCGGATTTGCACTGAGGCTGAGACTGTCCATTGTCCCCTCAAATCCAATCACCTTCTTCTATGGTAATAGAACCACCGATTTTTAGCTGGCTACCCAGAGTAAAAACCGCATTTCTAGTCTCCCTTGCAGCAAAATGTGATCATGTGACTAAGTGCTGGTCAATGAGATGTAAAGGGATAGGAGCTGGGCAAATTCTAGGTCTTGCCCTTAAAGACAAGGGGTGTGTCCTCCTCTTCCTCTTCTGCCTCCTGCTGGTTAGAATGAAGCCATGGAGTGGATCATGTTGGATTGGGTGGTTTAACATTCTCTGAATGACTGAGTGACAAAATGGAAGGAGCATGGCTCTCTGAGACCAGGGAGCTGCCACATTGTATTACTGCTACTTGGGTTGTTACTTAAGAGAAAAATAAATATCTATCTTATGTAAGCCCCTATTATTTGGGTCTCCATTGCAGTAGCCAAAAGAACATTTTAATTAATATAGCCCTGCTCCAAGGCAGGCTCACACCTCCTGGGGGCAGTTACAGGCTGACAACCCACCAGCTCTACCTTCCCACGCCAGGAGAGCCCCTCCTTCCCATCGGCTCCAGCAAAAGTCTCAGAGCAGATGCCCATTGGACCAGCTGGTGTCACGTGGCCACCCCTGAACCAATCACTGTGTTCAGAGGATTCTAATATGCTAATTGGCCAGGCCTGGGTCCTGGTCCGATCCTTTGAGCTGGCAGAGAAACTTCCAATCACAGGAGAGGATTCTGGAGGATGGCACAAAAATGGAAATTAGGGGCCGGCCCCAATGGCGTAGTGGTTAAGTTCATGCCCTCTGCTTCGGTGGCCCGGGGTTCACCAGTTTGGGTCCTGGGCGCAGACCTACACGCCACTTATCAAGCCATGCTGAGGCGGCGTCTCACATAGAAGAACTAGAGGGACTTACAATTAGAATATACAACTATGTACTGGGGCTTTGGGGAGGAAAAAAAGGAAATTACATTTGGGCACTGTTAGGAGAAGGGAGAACTCTGGTGAATGGGCAAAAGCAATTCCTAGGGTTCTAAACATTTCCCTGGGACAATCATAAGGGGATGCTCAAGGACTGTGTGGGGTGGGAGAGGAGACAGAATTGAAGCCTCACGGAGAGTCTGATAAAAAGTCAATTATGGTACACAACATGCTACTTACAGGCTTTTTTTTCCCTCTAAGTCTCTTAAGGCCAATTGGGTGTAAGTAACATCACCTTCTTGAACCAGCTTAAGCAAGCAATTGCTGTCCTTGCTGTGTACACTGTTCTAAGAGCATGACAGAATCTATCTCATAATCCTCATAACAACCCAACGAAGTAGGGACTGTTATTGTGCCCATTTTATACACGAAAAACGGAGACTCGGGAGGGTCAAGTGATTGACCCAAGGTGGCCTGATAAGATTGGGCCTCAAACTTGAACTATCTCCGATGTGTCAAGACACGTCCACTTCCCCACTGGGCTGGCTCGCCTCTCAGAATCACGGCTTACCGTTTCTGCTTCTCTCACACACACACCCAAACGCCGACGTCCTGAGGAAGAGATTCTCGTGGAATGACTTCTGGTTTTTAAAAGCGCGGGAGCGCCCGAGCACAGCTGCATCCGGGGACTCACTCAAGACCAAGTGTTTCTTTACCTCTCTTAGCTTGGTTTTTCCCTCATCTTTTACTCCACCCGTATTTCTTGAGGGCCTACTGTGTGCCAGGCCCTGTTCTAGGGGCTGGGGATGCAGAAATGAACCAAATGGACCAGTGAGGGAGGCGAATCAATAACATAACATCAAATGCATGTTAGGTGACAACAGCACAGAGGATGCAAACTAATAATAATAATAAAATAAGTCATTTAGCAGCGACGGGGAGTTTGGGATGGGTGGGTTGCTATTTTAAGGAGGGCGATCAAGGCGGGTTTCGTTGAGGAGGTGACGTTTAGGCAGAGGCTTAAAATGATGGAGTGAGCCCTGTGGATAGTTAGAGGAACAGCTTTCCAGGTAGAGGGAACAGACGGTGCAAAAGCCAGTGTTTGCTTCACCATCCGGCAATTCCTTCCCTCTTAGTGGCACAGATGTCTCTGGCCACTCCATCCGCCGATCTCATCGTCCGACAGAGAGCCACGCCCCCTTTCCCAGTAACTCCAGGTAAAGTCCCAAGACGGAAGCTCATTGGATGCACTTGGGTCACATGCTCACCCTGAACCAATCACTGTGCTTCAGGGAGTGAAGAGCTCTGATTGGCTAGTCTAGGGCGGGCAGGTGGCACGAGGTAGGTAACCACCCCTCCCCCAGGCACGTACCTGGGGCGGGGACCGAGGGTTACCTCCGTTTGAGCTCAGCCCAAGCAAATAGCTTTTCCAGTTTGTTCTAGAATCACTTTCCGGATCATTAAAAGAACTGTGTACTCCTTGTAAACTAAAATCCCAAGAATATAAAAATTGTAAGCAGTAAAAATTTTTTTTCCAAAAAAATCACAAATGAAACCTCACTCCAGAATATATGTATTTTACAAATACGAATGAGATCGTGCATACTGTCTGGCCGTCCTGCTCAGCACTGCGAAAACCCTCTACCGCTAGTTACTATCACTGTTATTATTTATTCCTCCCCAGACTGGGAAAAGATGTTGGTTAGCACGATACTATCAAGTTTACAGTTTTGGAATGTGTGCTATATGCCAAGCTGGATTTTACACGTGAGAAGATGGAAGTGCAGATAAGGTAAGTCACTCCTCCAGGGTCACACAGCAAGAAAGTGTGTCTGAGGCAGAACTCTGTTCCAGCCCCCCAGCTGCCCCGGGGCCCAGGAGAGCCCCTGCCCCCTCCCGCGGGCCAGGCAGGGCAGCAGCCTCCCGCTTATCTGAGCCCAGGCTGCCTGCTGGTCCCGCCCCCTCCGGGAAGCTGCCACTTGGAGGAGCCTGGCCGGGAAGCGCCTGGCCAGCTGTGTCCGGCGGAGGCAGCTGCTGACCCAGCTGTGGACTGTGCCAGGGCTGGAAAAGGGGGGGCGGGAGCCCTGGACCCCTCCTAGCGGGGGCTGCATCATGAATCACCTCGGTGCGCCTCTTTGGCCAGGAGTCGGCTCCCTCTGTCTCCTGCTCGCTGGGGCCGCCTGGGCTCCCCCACCCAACTCCTCGGACCCCAGGTTTGAAAGCAAAGGTGAGGATGGGGCTGTGTATGGACCCCCGCACTGGGGCCTGGAGAGCAATGCTGGGGCCTGAACTTCTATTTTGGGTCCTGGGGGCCTTCTGGGTTCTGAAGGTCCCCTCTGGGTCCTGGGGGCCAAGCTGGTGTCTGAACCCCTAGACTGGGTCCTAGTGGGGCATGTTGGGGTCTCAGTTCCCAGACTGGGTTCTGGGGGAGACGCTAGAGAGGGACATAAGTTTCCTATTGTATCTTTTCAGGGAGCCTGGGACATGCTAAATGCTAACGGGGCAGGGGTGGTGCTGGGTCTAGGTACTGCAGTCGAGAGTCCCCAAAGGGAGGGGACCTGGACCCTCCAGAGTGGGAGGGAGGATAAAGCTCGAGTCCGAGGCAGAGGGGCCGGGCCGCAGGCGACTGTAAACACGGTTTGCATGCGGGCGCCAGATCCCTTTCCCCGCCGGGCCGAGGGAGGGGGGCAGGGGGCACGGTTGGCGCTATCGGGCAGCGGGGAGCCTGCTGGGGCCGATAGGGGGCCCCGCCTCCTCCACACTCGCCCGCGGGCACGCACGTCCCGGGCTGGGGCGGGGCGGCATCGGGAGGCGGAGGCCTTGAATACTGCGCGCAATTCAGCCCTTCGCGAGGTGGCCGGTGTGTGTGTAGGGGGCGACAGTAAGGCAAGCAACCTGCGCTTGGGAGTTCGGGGGGCAGCACCTCTGCGGACCCCTCAGGGGGCCTCGCTGGGTTAGAGAGCGGGGCGGGGCTTTTTTCTTATCGGTGCGCACAGGCGGCGGGAAGAAGGGGGAAGATGCTCGGCTGCCCTGACCCCCTCCCCTTGCGCCCACCCCCAGCGGCCCTGCTGGCGGCCCGCGGGCCCGAGGAGCTTCTATGCTTCACCGAGCGGTTGGAGGACTTGGTGTGCTTCTGGGAGGAGGCGGCAAGCGCCGGGGTCGGCCCCGAAAACTACAGCTTCTCCTACCAGCTCGAGTGAGTCCGACCCGGGAGGCAGAGCGCCCCGGAGCTCGTTGCTAGGGACGCCTCCTGTTGCCAGGGGCCGGAGGGCACCTTCCCTGGGGGGGGGCACTTGGGGGAAGCCTGCGGGGTCAGGACTGACACGTCCCTTAGTGGCCAGGGCTGGGACGCTCGCTCCCCTGATCACCGCTGGAGCACGACCCCAAACATCAGGGCCGGGACCACACCCCTCCAAATCAGGACCAAGGCGTCGCGTGCGTCGGGGCTGGGCCGCCCCCTGGTGGTAGTGTCCGAAGTGCGCCCACGGTGCGGGCAATGTCTCCAACCTGCTCCCTTCCCTCGCTGGTCCCTCGGCGCACAGGGGTGAGCCGTGGAAGCCGTGCCGCCTGCACCAGGCGTCCACGGCCCGCGGCGCGGTGCGCTTCTGGTGCTCGCTGCCGACGGCCGACACGTCGAGCTTCGTGCCCCTAGAGTTGCGCGTCACAGCGGCCACCTCGGGCGCTCCACGCTACCGCCGCGTCATCCAGGTCAACGAAGTAGGTAGGTGTGCCGGGAACGGGGCGGTGGTCGGGGGAGGGGGCCTTGGTCTCCCCCCACCTGAGTATCCCCTCTTTGGCAGTGCTCCTGGATCCCCCCGCGGGGCTGCTGGCGCGGCTGGCCGATGAGGGCGGCCACGTGCTACTGCGCTGGCTCCCGCCGCCTGGGGCCCCCATGGCGAGCCTTATCCGCTACGAGGTGAACATCTCGGCAGGCAACGCCGCCGGGGGCGCGCAGAGGGTGAGGCCCGCCGCTACCGCCCAGCTTCCCAAAGGCTCCCGTGTCGCCATCCCCGCCCCGCCCATCTAAGTCCCGCGCAGATGGTCATCACGGCCCCGCCCCCATGGCCTCGCCCCTCCGGGTCCCGCCCCTGACGCCCGCGACAAGGCCTCCTTCCCAATGCCCACCAGCCCACCCGAATCCAACCCCACTTACCCGCGTGGTCTCAAACCCCAGACCCCGCCCCTCTATGCTCTGGCCCCGCCCCTGCCCTGATTGGCTCCGAGCTTTCCTGGGCCCCGCCTCCTGCTTTCATCGCCCTCCCCCTCCTCCCGCCGCGCTTGAGCACCGCCCTTCCTTCCTCTGATTGGCTCGGCCCTCAGGGCCCGCCCCCTCCGGCCCCGCCTCTCACTCCGGCCCCGCCCCCAGGTGGAGATCCTGGACGGCCGCACGGAGTGCGTGCTGAGCAACCTGCGCGGCCAGACGCGCTACACCTTCGCGGTGCGCGCGCGCATGGCCGAGCCGAGCTTCGGCGGCTTCTGGAGCGCCTGGTCCGAGCCCGCGTCGCTGCTGACCGCCAGTGGTGAGGCCCCGCGCGGGGGGCGGGAGGGGCTGGGGCGGAGCCTCGGGCCAGGCCCCCGCCCTGACCGCCTCCCTGCTCCCCAGACTTGGACCCCCTCCTCCTGACGCTCTCCCTCATCCTCGTGCTCATCCTGCTGCTGCTGGCTGTGCTCGCGCTGCTCTCCCACCGCCGGTGAGCGCCCCGTTCGGGCCCGGGCCCACACTCCTCCCCACCAGCGTCCCCTTTTCGCTGTGCAAACCCAGGCTCAAGAGGGTCAGGCACTTGCCCGAGGTCACACAGTGAGCAGTCAGTGGCAGGGCTGGGAGGCCAGCCAGACTAGACCCAGAATTTTGGTTAAAATTCTCGGGGGACATTCACCTGGTTTTCCTTCTGCCTCAGCGGCTGCTCCTTCTTGAATTCCTTTGCTCATTCCTTTTCCCAATGTCATCAACTTTTGTCAAATCCATCAGATGGGCTTCACGGAAAGATTTATGATATGACGAGCCATCCTGAGGTTTTTGTAATTCCCAGCACAGACCATGTGGTTTTACACCCCCAAGCTTTGGCACATGCTGTTCCTTCTGCCTGAAATGCCCTTCCTGCCTTCTCCCCCAAGCAATCTCCTCATTGTCTTTCGAGGCCCTGTTCATTTACTTGGTTGGAAAACACACCTTGAGAGCCAGGTATGTGCTAGGCGCTGGGGAGAAAGTGGAGAACAAACCAGACACATCCCTGACCTTGAGGGTCTCAAAGTTGAGTCAGACAACAAACAAGGGAACCAACAGATATTTGATTATAAATGGTGATGAGTGATATCACAGAAACAAATGGGGTCGAGGGACATGACAGGATGATCAGGGAAGGCCTCTGGGAGGTGACATCAGAGCAGAAACCCGAAGGTTGGAAGGAGGCAGCCACATGAAAAGTGGGGAGAAGAAACAAGTGCAAAGGCCCTGAGGTAGGAAGGAGCTTGGAACATTGCAGCAGCTGCAAGAAGAGCTCTATGGCTAGAGCAGAGTGTCTAAGGAGAAGTGGTGGATGATGAGGTGAGGGAGGTGACAGGGGTCAGAACATGCAGAGTCTCCACAGCGCTGTGGGGAGGAGTTCGAATTATATTCTGAATGCATTGGGGAACCATGGAAAGGAGAAGGGAAGTAACATAAGGAACCTCCAGGCAAGCCTGGGCCAGGTTTAGAGGGAGCATGAAGCAGTGTGTATTGAACTCCTATTCATCCTTCAAAACCCTATTCCCATCACCCTTTTGTGGGGCCTTGCAGATGCTTCAGCCAGAACCCCCGTTCCTCAGTCCCTATGCGTTCCTCTGCCTCCATCATGATCTGTGCCCCTGTGACTGGTGCTGGGGACGTATTGGGGAGTATTGTACTCGTTTCTTTTGGCTTCACCAGGGCTCTGAAGCAGAAGATCTGGCCTGGCATCCCGAGCCCCGAGAGCGAGTTTGAGGGCCTCTTCACCACCCACAAGGGTAACTTCCAGGTAGGTGGCCTTGTCCTTGGGGCCGGGGCTTCCCTGCTCCTGGGCCACACCCCCGGGCTCTGAGCAGCTGGCGCTGTTTCCCCAGCTGTGGCTGTACCAGAATGACGGCTGTCTGTGGTGGAACCCCTGCACCCCCTTCACAGAGGACCCCCCCGCCTCCCTGGAGGTCCTCTCTGAGCGCTGCTGGGGGGTGACCCAGGCAGTGGAACCCGGGGCAGAGGATGAGGGGCCCCTGCTGGAGCCGGTGGGCAGTGAGCATGCCCGGGACCCCTACTTGGTGCTGGACAAGTGGCTGCTGCCCCGGAGCCCCACCAGCGAGGACCTCCCGCAGCCTGGTGGTGGTCTGGACACGGCAGCCATGGATGCGGGCTCGGAGGCCTCCTCCTGCTCATCTGCTCTGGCGCTGAAGCCTGGGCCGGAGGGGGCCTCGGCTGCCAGCTTTGAGTACACCATCCTGGATCCCAGCTCCCAACTCTTGCGCCCGAGGGCACTGCCTCCTGAGCTGCCCCCAACCCCACCCCACCTCAAGTACTTGTACCTCGTGGTGTCCGATTCTGGCATCTCAACTGACTACAGCTCAGGGGGCTCCCAGGGTGCCCAGAGGGGCTCCTCCGATGGCCCCTATTCCAACCCTTATGAGAACAGCCTCGTCCCGGCCCCCGAACCTTCAGCCCCCAGCTACGTGGCCTGCTCCTAAGACTCCAGCCCTCAGAAGCTTGGGGACCTAGCATGACCACGAGGGCTAGGCCCGGCCCAAGACTTAGTGGGCAAGGCCACCCTCAGGACCAGGGGCATTGCTGACCTCAGCTTTCTGCCCAAGCCATCCTGCTCAGGAAGTCACAACCTTGCAGTATTTTCAAATGTATAGTTTTTTGTATAGATCCACATGTGTAAGTTTTTTTATCAGGACTTCTGCAAATGCCCTGTAAGCCCCAACTGTCCCTGGGCCCAGGCCATAGGGGCAGCAATCAAAAACCTTGAGCCCAGTGTGAAATTCTGGACCTGGCAATCTGAATAATCATCCTAATAAAATCAATCAGTCACTATAAGTTACGCCAGCTGCCATAACAAACAACGCCTAAACCGGAGTGGCTTAACACATTGAATGGTTTATCGCTCGCATCTCAATTCCGACAGGTGGGCGGCCATCCCCAGATGAGTGAGAAGCCCAGACTCTTCCGGTCTGTAGCTTCACCATCCCCCAGGGCCACCCTGGCGTCTTTAGATGGATCCTCTGCATCCTGCCAGCCAAGAAGCAGAGAGAGAGACAGCAGAAGGTTCTGTGGGCCGTTTCAGGGATCTAGCCTAGAAGTGGGCGCCATCTCTTCTTCATAAATCCCATTGGCCAGAAATAGTCATGGGACCCCCCCCCCCCCCAGCTAGCCCCATGGACTGCTGGGAAATGTAGTTTAGCTGTGCGCCCAGGGAGAGGAAGCTGTTCAGTGAGTCCCTAGCTAGGCTCTGCCACTAATAATAATAACCTTAATTCATAGGGCTTTATCCTGTGTCAGGCCCTGTTCGAAAAAAGCACTCTGATGACACCAAGTGTCATCAGGTGGTTCAGTGGGAGTTCTGGTTTAACTATTTTTTAAAAGTTTGGCATAACCTAGGGAAGCTGAACATGTGCAAACCTTCTGCTCCAGCAATTCCCCTTCTAGAAACTCTCACACGGGGCCAGCCCTGTGGTGGAGAAGTTAAGTTCACGCTGTCTGCTTCGGCGGCCTGGGTTTTCGGGTTCAGATCCTGGGCGTGGACCTATACCGCTCCTCAGCCATGCTCTGGCAGCAACCCACACACAAAGATGGCACAGATGTTAACTCAGGGCTAATCTTCCTTAAGCAAAAAACAAAGAAGATTGGCAACAGATATTAGCTCAGGACAAATCCTCCTCAGCAAAAAAAACAACAAAAAACCTCTCACACACATGCACCAGGACATGTGTGCAAGAATGTTCAGAGCAGTAAATAAGTCAATCTGATAATTAAATTGGGGTGGGGTCACCCATGGAATCATATGCAGTGGAGAAAAAGGAATAAACTGAAAAATGTGGCTGAATCTTAGTAATGATGTTGAGTGGGAGAAAAGGGAGTCTCAAAAGATTACATTTATCATCAAACTATTTTTATAAAGTTCAAAACAGCAAAACGAAACAGTATGTGGCTTGGGTATAATGTGTACATGATAATGCTATTTTTAAAAGGGAAAAAACATTTTACATTCTTTAGGTCTTCGAATCTGTACATTTCCCTGGGGGAAGTATTCCAGCCAGAGGAAACTGAGGCATAGAGAGGCTGTCACACACCAAAGCTCAGCGCTGGCCTCCAGAGCTTGAACCCTTGTCTGAGCTGGGGTCGCCAGCCTGGGCAGGCCACGGGGTGACTGTCATCTCTCCATCTGGTCGGAAAGCCACGCACCACTCTGCCCTGGGGCCCAGCCCACCTGGCTCCAGGCTGGCTCGGAGGCGGTGCTGTCCTGGCCCTGGTGCATCCGGCTGCAGCCAGCACTGGGCAGGGAAATACCGCTGGAGCACTGACAGCTGCAGGGCATCCCCACTGTCTCCCTCCTCCTGGGTCTGGAGGGCCACAATGAGCCCACAGCCACCGCCAGGTCCAACTCGGTGGCTGAAGTGGTCAGCAGTGTCCAGAAGCAGGGCAGCCAGGTAGGCGGCTTCCTGGAGCCCCGGGTCTTCAGCTAGGTACTCCTCCAAGCCATCGAGCAGCAGGAGGGACGGGGCTGGCCCCCGGGCCTCATGGGCAGAGCACAGGAGGTGGAGAAGCTCACGGGTCGAGGGTGGGTACTGGAAGCGGATCTTCTAGAGGGAGGAAAAGAAGGAAAAGGCCAGACTCAGCAGCCCTGTTTCCTTGTATACTGTCCTGGACGAGGCGCTCACTCCCCAGGCAGCGGGTACCTGGTACCAGACTTTAGCAGTTCACAGTGATGGAATATTCTTTTGCCCTCTCCCCCTTTTATTATCCAGCACTCATCACTGCCTAGTATTAGTTGAAAACAAGGTATGTCTTTTTGCCAAATCTCTAACTTTCCACGGAAAACCCGCCAGTGGCGCCCCAAGTCTGACCCCATCACTGACTCCGGTTCCACTGGTACCAACTCGCGTCCAGAGGAGACCCAAGTTTAGCCCCGCCCCTTGCTTGCCGCTGACTCCACCCCTTGGGCACCGCCTTTCGCTAATCCCGCTCCATCACTGGAGGGTCTTTCAGTCAATCTTCACTAGCTGCGCATGGTCCCGCCCCCCGCTCATTCCTGACTCCGCCCCATAATGGCTGCTCCGGCTCGCCCTCCCTTCGTCGCCGCCATTGGTCTGTAGACCTGTCACTCAATCATCGATCCGCCCCGTCACTGGCTGGTCCACCTCTGATCCCACCCTCCGTTACCTGCAGCCGCAGATGGTCGAGCGCCGCTCCGGTCCCGCGAGGAAGGCTTTGTAGAGGCCTCCGGGTCAGGAAGAGGACGGGGCCTCGGCCCTCCCCTGCCGTCTCAAGGGCCGCCGCGAATAGCAGCGCTGTCTTTCCGGAGCCGGGACCGCCGAGCAGCAGCAAAGGTGGCCCAGCCTCAGCTGTGTTCTCCTCCTCAGGCCCGGCCGCGCTGCTGGGACTTAGCACCCGCCTCAGCGCCTCCGCCATTCGCAACGTATCTCTGTCCAATCGGCGGCCGTTTTTGCCCTTAATCCCGCCCAAGGCGAGGTCTCATTGGTTACAGTGCACTTGGCTTCTTCATTGGTCCTTGGATCTGTCCATCAACCTTAGATCGGCCTGCTAGCTCCTCCCCTGGTGGAGGGGGAAATAACCTAGTCTGACCGAGGAGGAATCAGGGCGTTTGAGGGAGAAAAGGCTCTTCCTTCCCTAGGGCGAGCTTGCTGAGGGAAGCAGCACGAATACTACTATTGTGATCTAATCAGGCAGGTATAAGAGCTGAGAGTTGGAGGGAGCAAGTCCTAATCACTGACATGACTTAGTCTCCTAGCCTCAGTTTGCTCACCTGTAAAATGGAGCTCATGATGTCTCAGAGGAATACTGCGGTGGGCATGTGTCTGTGTGTGTTTCCGCTGATGTCACCCAATTCCACTGGAGAAGTGGAGAGAGGGATGAGCTGTGGGCCCGTCTCTGTCTGCACCCGAGTACCCGCACAAGCGTGTATCTGGGGCTGCAGGCTCGGGGACATTTGTGTGCAAAACAGCAGCAGCTGTCTCTGAGGGGCTGTGAGAAGAGGGCTATCAGCTGGCTTCCTCATTGGCCGAGGGGTTCCTTGGGTCCTGCTTGGGAGTCCGGGGGAAGGCAGATCATAGACCAAAGAAGGCCCTGGGAGAGGCAGAGACAGCGACTGGAAGACAGAGGGAGAGCCACGGCAGGGACCTCGTTTGTCATTTCACTTCGGCGTCTCCAGCGCCCGGAGCAGCTACTAGCTCATTCTAGATCCTCAATATATGCTCTTTAAATAAATGAATGAAGAAAGGAAGGTAGGGTTGATGAGAAACTGGGAGAGAAGGAGGAACGAGGTGAGTGATCAAGCGGTCGCTAGCTGGGTCTCCTCACCCAGACTTCGCCCCAGAGCTGCCACTCACGCCCCTGTTGCCCTGGCAACGCGGTCTCTTGGTAACTTCAAAGTGGTGCCGTTGCCAGGAGACCCGGGGCAAGGCGGAACTGAGATTTCCTGGGCTTTCTCTCTCCCTCTGGGGCCGGAACACAGCTCCACAACGTCCCCTCAATACGCCCACTCACACAGCCTGCACCCCCACGCCACTCTACACACACGCACCCCCACAGTGTCTCTATATATTCCACTTCCAGAATCCCCATGGGCTTTCGAGCACATGCTCACAACCCTATCCTACCCTGACACAAAGCATCCCATACACACTCTCTCCCTTGCACACTCACCAGAACACACTCAGATACAACCATGACATTGCCACTGCACACACACAGTCACGTTTCCTTTCACCTGATGCACGTACAGCTCTTTCTGCACACACACACACACGAGGTACATTGTCACACTGCCTTGTCAAATGCACCACCTCAGCCCCCACCCGGAACAGATGCACAACCCATGATTCACCTCGCTTTGAAACACCCCAAATTCACAGGCACCCAGTGATGACCCCCGTATCACACAGTGCCACTCAGTTACGTACACGGGAGCATGCCGAACGCAGCCCCGCTGCACTTGCTGTTCCCTTGCTGAGAGCCCTCAGCTTGCAGATATCCCCGTGGCTCATTTTTCCACTCCATTCAGATTTCTGTTTCAGTATCACCTACTTAGAGAGGCTCTCCCTGACCACATGTGTAGAATCGCACACCTTTCACTCTTTAACTGTTTATCCATGTTTATTTCTCTTCGAGTAACTTAACCCTTCCAATGTTATGTACACGTTTTATTGCCTCTCTGCTGACTACGATGTCAGATCCACCACGATAGGGTCTCTGTTTTGTTCACTGCTGGGTCCCCAGTTCCTAGAACAGGGCCTGGCACACAGTGGGTGCTCATAAATGTAGGCAGAGTGGGTACACTAGCAGAGATGCAGACATTTGTTGTATCTCTAATGCACACAGTGCTTCTTTCTCTCACTTCTCAGCCTCCCAACTTCAAGTCCTGACAGAAGGACTCTTACCGTAGAGGGGCTTCCTGGACGAGGAGGACTGAGGGATGAGAGGACCTGGAAGTGGACAGCTCAAGATCAGTCTGTGCTTCTCCCTGGTTTATCAGCATCCTCAAGTGATTAGTTCATTCATTTAGCAAACACTTATTGAGCACCACTGTGTGCCAGGCCCCGTTGTAGGTACGGGGACCCAGCAGAACAGACGACAAAGTCTCTGTCCTGATGAAACTGACATCCTCGCAAGGGAGGGCATAATGACCACTAAGCATAACGAGGAGTTTAAATAGTCTATGAGCAGATGATAAGTGTATGCAAAAAAAAGTTTGCACAGGGGAAGGAAGTCGGAAGGGCCTGTTGATTGGTTTCTGACATTTCGAATAGGGTGGTAGGGAAGGGGCTCAATGAGAAGGTGACATTTGAGGAAAGGCTTGAAGGAGGCGAGTGAGTGAACCATGCATATGTGTAGGGGAAGGGCATTCCAGATGGAGGCATAGCAAGTGCAAAGGCCCTGAGGCATTGGGAGAAATTTGGTTCTTAATTAGAGCATCATGGGGGGCCGTGAGAGGGTTTGAGCAAAGGAGGGTCTGAGTTATATCCTAAACCAGTGTTTGGATATGGTCTAGTTGAGTTTGAGATGCTCTGAGACCCATGGGAGCACGTTGAGAAGGCTTTTGAATAAGCAAGTACGCATTAGTCTGGGTTCTCTACCTAAGATTGTCCATCGTGGGATAGGGGTGTGGGCAAGGCCAAGGCTGCTGTCGCCACCCTCTCTGGCCCCGACTGTACCCTTCCTTGGCCCGCGTTTAACATCAGAACCATGGACAGCGCCAACTGGGTTGGCCAGGAGGCGCTGTCGGCCGTGCTGAAGTTTCGCTTCTTTCCTGGCCCTGGTGGAGGCAGCTGTACGACAGGGGGCCCACGGGTGTCAGGTGCATGCTCCGGAAACAGGAGCTCTGGTCGGTGAAGTGGATTCTGTCCTTCCTCTGCCTCCAGCCCGCTCATGCTCCCATCTCATTCCCAGTAGCCCACAATCGGCACCATCACCTCCCCCGCGCTCACTCCGCTCGAGCCTCACAGGTTTCCCCACTTCCCCGACCACAGCAGGCACGTTTCCACCTCAGAGCCTTCGTGCTTGCTCTTCCCTCTGCCTGGAACGCTCCTCCCTCCACCTCTGATGTTTGCAAGGCTCCCTCCCTCCTTCATGCCTCATCTCCGGGGCCATCTCCTCAGACAGAACTTCCCTGACCATCTTCTTTAAGTTGCAAACCGTGTCCCCATCCCATAGTCGTCCCATTGCCTTCTCTAGCTTGAGTTTTCTCCTTACCACTTACCAATATTTAACACAGCAGAATCTCAATCTCTGACCTAAATCCTTGATCTCAGAGTTTGGAAGTCAGTCTTTTTCAGATTTTCAAAAGGTACCGTAATGTTAATACTGTGTATCGCATAACCCCCCGAGGGGGGCCTGGATAACATCCCCAAAATCAAGCAATTTATCTGCAGCGCAACAAGAATATTCACGTTAAATAAATAAGAGCTATACATAACCTCATGTCACTTGAATCAGATTTTTCCCCAAATGCATTATGAAAAAATTTTTGGTTTTCAGAGCTTTTTGGGATTTGGAGTTGTGGCTCTGTATAAAGTGTATTTATCTTTTTTACTGTCTCTCTCTCACACAGTAGAATGTGAGCTTCATGAGGGCAGGAATTTGTGTCTTAGCCCCTGTGCCTAAGGAAACAGCACCTGGCACACAGTAGGTGCGCCACAGTTTGTTGAATGAAGGAATGAATGAATGAGGGGGGCAGGGAAGCAGACTCCCCTTTCCTGGTTCCTGGGTGACTCTGTGCCCTGATTGGCCTGTCTGAAGCCCCGGAGAACCCCAGTGGGGGGGGGGGGGTGGTGTCAATGACTCCCTGCTCCTCCTGCCCTCCCTGGTCTGCACTGGGTCCTCAATCGTTGGGACTCAATACAAGCTCATAATCAGAACTCCTGCTCTCATCAATGGCTGAGCACCACTCTCTCCACTTTATTAAGATGTGGGTTCTATTTTCATTTATTCCACAGCGCTGGGACAAGGTGGAGGTAAATAAGGCTGAGCTGTGCACGGGCAGCCAGGGGTTTGGCTAGAGGTTCTGATGCCCTCAGCATCCCCTTTTGCTATCAGGACTGTCAGGGTCCCCTCACCATATGCCCTGTGCCCTCTGTGCCCTGGCTGTGGTCAGAAGCAGGCCAAGTGCTGGGGGAAGACAGTCACATGAGGCCCCTCACCGTGTGCCTTACGTGTGGCTTGTGGGGCTGTCCGCATTTGACAGATGAAGAAACAAGGGCACAGAAAGGGTAATTAACTTTCCTGAAGCCACACAACCAGGAAATGCCGAGCCAGGACTTAAACCCAAGTCTCTGGCCCCACACTGCATCTCCACAATCGCCCTCAGACACACTGGGACAATACACCGCCACCCAGCCTCACCGACACCCAGACCCATGATTAAAGACCTCCACATCTCACCACCCAGGAGAGGAAGGCAGGTGGCCACACTTCTGTTACAAACAGGTCTTTATTAAAGAGGAGGAGAGGGCAGGAAGGGGGGGCAGTGTCTCTGCTGCCCACTGCCTTTGGCCACCTGCGGTGAGGGAGCCCTCTCTGCCCCCCCCCCATGCCCCCTGGGATGGCACATCAGCAGGAGGCTGAGGCACGGGGGAGCAGTGTGAAGAGCACGGGGGGTTCCAAGAAAAAAAAGTCCTTTCCCACAGCCATAATAAATAATAGAAGGGTTTGGGGGGACTTGGGCACAGGCAAGAAGAGACACAGCACCCTGAACCCCAAAACCTTTGAAGTGGGGCAAGCCCTGCCTAAGTAGGGAGTTAGGAGGGACGGGGGAAGAGGGTGCATGTCGGGGAGGAGCTGGGGGAGAGGGGTGCCCCGAGGTCCCTGCCACGGGGGAGCCTGCCCCCCACCCTCTGGCTGGACTCTCTGATGCTGAGGAGAGAGGATGAGATGACAAAGGATGACCCATCTCCCTACTCTCCTTTGCACAGGCTTAGACATGGGCGGTCCCCCATTGACTGGAATCATACCCACCCACCCTAAAAATTCTGAAAACCAACGACTCCTATTGGATGTTCAGATGCCCAACACTGGCTGGAGTTGCCCTCTTGCCTGAGGATTCTAAGAAGTGAGAGGGAGGCTCCCATTGGCTGCAATAAACTCCTTTTGGTTAGGATTCTGAGAACTGGGGGCTCCCATTGGCTGGGCGATGGCCAATGGGGTCAGGCTTTGGACTTTAAAAGGGCAATCCTAGGGGCAAGGGCCCACCTTCCAGTTATGCCCACTTGGGTGTCCCAGGGGGCAAGAGAGGCAGGGGGTCCCCCAGGTGTCCTGCCAACCATCCTCTTATGTCTGGGCCTGGCTGGTTTGGGGACAGAGGGCTTTGGCACTCACACGGCACACGCACACACACGTGTGGCAGGGAAGAAATGGGGCCGGGCAGATTCTGGGTGGGCGGTCGGGCCTCACAGCAGGTGGTCGCGGCTGGCGAACAGGTATGGGCTGAAGTTGTCCCGGTGGAAGGGGGACGGATAGAGTCCACTAAGGGTGTACAGGTCCCGCAGGAGGGGTGTGGGCAGCAGCAGCTTCCGGCCACGTCCACCACCCCCACCTGGCCCCCCAGGCCCAGGGGAGGAGGGTGAGGGGCCCTGGCTGGGGGTGGGCGCGGGCAGTGGCAGGGGCAGCGGCAGGGGTGTGGGCTCAGACCTCAATCGAGGGCGGGGCACACGGGGCGACGAACACATGGCTGGAGCCCTGGAGGACACGCAGCTGGGGATCAGGTGGCCACGGCGGGCGCAGTTCTGCGGCTCTAGGGGTCAAGAGTCAGAGGTCAGGGGATCAGAAAGCTTGGCAGGGGACCACGAGTCAGAGGTGAGACCCCTGCGGCAGTGACTGCCATCTGAAAGTCCCCCCGTTTATCCTCCCACTCCCTCAACACTCACTGGATGGGGTGAGCCGTGCCGGTGTCGAATGCGGCCTGCAGGCCTCGGGTTCCTGAGACAAAGAGGCAGAGGGAAGGGGCTAGTGGCCCCCTCGGGCCCCGCCGGCCACAGCCACGAGAGGTTCAGCGGGCAGTGAGCCCAGTGGAAAAAACAACCAGAGTTCTCAGGGTTAACCATGTCCCCTTGGGAGGGAGAGAGAGCCACACCCTCCTATTCCGTGGGACTGTCCCCCAGGACCCATGTCCACAGAGATGAGTGACCTCTTCACCTCCCCACGGCCCTGAGACCCCCACCTCTTGCCTGACTACCTGCCTCCTTGGTCCCCCTCCACCCACCACCCTCTCCAGCCGGGAGCAGCCCCCGGCCCCCCTTACCTGGGCTACACTTAACTTTTCGAGGGGGTTGTCCATGGTGGGGGCTTGGCCCAGGTCCTCCCAGGGGGAGAGCCTTCGGCCAGAGGGTGGCCGGCTCTGGAAGTTGTGCACGACGCAAGTGACCTGGGACAGAGGGAGAGGGGGCGTGTTGAGGCCCAAGGCCAATAAGGCAGGAGTTGTATAAATGCCATGCCCATTTTTCAGATACAGAAACTGAGGCTCAGGTTTTCAAAAACTTTTTTTTTTTTTTTGCTGAGGAAGATAGGCTCTGAGCTAACATCTGTGCCAGTCTTCCTCTATTTCATATGTGGGTCACCACCACAGCATGGCTGCCAACAAAGGGTGTAGGTCCATGGCTGGGAACTGAACCCCGGCTGCTGAAGCGGAATGCACCAAATGCAACCACTAGGCCACTGGGCTGGCCTCACAGCTAACATTTTTACAGTGTTTACCATGTGCCAAGCACTATTCTCTCCACTTTACTAAGAGGTGGGTGCTATCATTGTTTATTCCACAGGGCTGGGATGAGAGGGAGGTAAATAAGGCTGAGTTGTGCAGGGCAGGATCTGAGCCTGTCTTTATTTAAATATTTGATATTTGGTACATTATGGGTTTTTTACATTAATTTTGATTTTTTTAAATGTTTCATGAAAATAGTATTTATCTTGATTATTGAGTGTTTGGAGTCACCCTTAAATTTGACACTCAAAGCGAGTGCCTCCCTCGCACGTGGTTCCAGTCCTGTTAACCCACTTCACAGATGAGACCATCCAGGCAAGGGAAGCTTAAGGGACTTGCCCAAGGTCACAGAAAGTCCACACCCTTCACCATCATGCGGTCCTCCCTCTTGGGAGCTGATGGAGTGTCTCCCATACTGGGATGAGTGGGAAGAGGGCTCACCAGAAAGGTGGCGATGGCCGCCCCGGTCAGAAAGCCGGCCAGCACGTCGGACCAGTGGTTGCGGTACTCGGCCACGCGGACCACGCCCACCAGGAAGGCAGGGCACAGCAGGGCCAGGCAGAGTGAGGGTTTGACCAGGCGCGAGCCCTTCACGCGGAACACGAGAGTCACGTACATCTGCAGGAGCAGGACTGGTCAGGGGCCACGTGGCAGCGCAGTTGCTGACCCCAAGTGGCCACTGCGTTCCGGGCCAGAATCCCCAGGAGCAGCATTGGGGCTGGAGGCTGTGGCCAGGGGCTCCAGAGAACTGAGCCAGCGGGACAAGGGTTCAGAGGATGGAGTCACGGACTCCCAGAGGGCCCTTGCAGGGCTGGGGGCGTGGCTAGAGCACCAAATAGCAGTAGACAGGGCCTGGGGTCCAGGTCTCCCTTGGACCAGTCACAAATGGGGGAAAGATGCTTGTTGGGTTAGGGGTCGGCCAAAGAACCAGAGGGTGGAGTTACTGCCAAAGGGGCGGGTGCAGGAGCCCCAGGAGGTGGAATCCCCAAACCCCAGGGGACCACCGACAGGGTTAGAAGTCCCCACACCAAAAAAGAAGTCAAAGCAGCAGAAGATGTGACCAGCGAACAGCAGGGACAGAGTCAACAGTCAGGGGCGTGGCCAGGCCAACAAAGGGCGAGAATGGGTGGGGCGAAGACTCCAGGAGGCGGAGTTGAAAACCCATCAGCCCAGAGTCTCAGCTACTATCCAGGACCCTTAGCATCCTGGGGACGTGACTAGGCTCCAGGGACTGTATCCTGGTCCCACAGGGCGGAGCCAACAGCCTCCTGGGGGGCGGCATTACCGGGTCAGGAGGCATGGCCAGACACCAAGGCGCGCAGTCAAGACCACCGCAAACCAGACTCGGGGGCGTGGCCGAGGCCCGAGGGGAGGAGTCAGAGCCTCTAGCGGGCAGACTCCGCCCTCGGGGTGGTGTCACAGCGCCGGGGCGTGGCCTCGCCCCACCGAGGATTGGAAGTGCTAGTCCAGGTGGCCTCCTCCCCGCCCGCCACCCCCACCGCCATGCCCCCAATTCGGGGCTCACCGCCGTGTAGGTGACCGCGTAGGCGCAAAGGGCCGCGTCCTTGCAGGGGAAGGCGCGGCGTGCAGCGGCCACCAGGCTGGGGCTGCCGGCGCAGGCACCCTGGTCTGTGACGAAGCGGTCGGGCCCCGGGCGGTCGGGTGAGGGCGGCGGGCAGCCCAGGGCCGTGTAGTTCGGGCGGCACACGGACAGGAAGTGCGGCGTGGGGTTGCCGGTCACCACCTGCCCCGCGTTGGCGAAGATGGTCGTGGTGAAGAGGCCGAAGGAGTAGACCCCTGGGGGTGGGGTGGGAGAGGGCGTTCATGCCCGGGGCCCTCATGTCCCAGTGACCCTCCTCCTCTGAGCCCCCTTAAGGCCCATTTGGGCCTCTGATTTACAGCCGTCTTCCCTTGGGACCACCACATTGGCACTCTGGGCCTCTTGCCCCTGGGACCCTCATTACAGTACACCGGGCCTCTGTTCCTCTGGGATTACCACTATGTCACCAGTGGGCTCTCCCTAGAACCCCATTTAGGTGGGCTGGGACCCCTCAACAGCATTACATCAGGATTGGGCCCATGCCAGGACCTCCTAGGACCACCCGATGGCATTTCTTGGCTTCTTTATACCTGCCCCTGGACTCGCTGTTACTGAGTTGACCACATTTCCCCTAGGTCACTGATCAGCCAGATCTGCATGCCCAGCCCGCTGCCACAGGGACCACCATTAAGGATGAGCTCTGCCCCTCCCCTCCCCCATGGCCTCCCCTGGGGCTAGGACCACATCTGAAGCACAGCCGGGGTCTCAAGGACAGTCTCTCCATCTGAGACTGCCATTGTGGGAATTTAGGGCCCTCCTCTTACAGCTGCCGTCATAGTTGGTTTGGGCCCCTCCCATGTCCTTAGGACCCCAACTCTGCCTGGCCTGAGCCCAAGTCCCTCTTTGTCCCTTGAAGTCGCCATCACGGTAATTCTAGGCCCTCTTCCCCTTGGAATTCTTATTATGGCTGAGCTGGGCTTATAACCCTCTGACCCCTGGCTGCGTCACTCACCCAGAAAGCGGACCAGCCTCCGCAGCGGGGGGCTGAAGCGGCAGCAGGCCCCGGACACGATGGTGCTCTCCCCGATGATGGGGACACTGGAAGGTGGCGCAGGGAAAAAGGCACGGGCCAGCTCCCCCAGCAGGATCTGTGGGCAAGACCAAGGCGGGGTCTTCTGGCCATCCAGCCCAGCCCTCCGCCCAGCTCCACCTGGCCCTGCTGCCTCCTGGGAGGTGCTCCCCACATTCGGACTCAGGCTACCCCCCATCTCACCGTGAGGGTGGGCCCCGCCGTGACCAGGGCGTAGATGAGTGCGGGAGGCGCTCGGCTGGCAGCCTCAGGCCCGGGGTAGGGCTTGGCGTAGGTACTGTCATAACAGAAGAAGCCCTGGGTGTGCACGGGGAAGGTGTCAGTGAACTCCAGACGGTAAGCCAGCAGGACCACGACGCCCAGCAACACCGACTGTTGCCCAGCCGGGGAGGGCGGAGAGAGACGGAGAGAGAAGAAAGAGGGTCAGGCCTGAGCTGGGGCCATAGAGACAGAGACACAAAGATGGAGAGAGACAGAGATGAGGGAGAGAGACAGAGAGAGATCAAGACTGAGGAAAAGCAACAGAGAGAGAGAGAGGTGGGGAAGGAGGTGAGAGAAGGGTTGGGGCCTGGGAGACACGAAGAAAGAGATGAAGACTGAAGGAGAAGAAAGAGAGAGAGGAAGAGAGGAGATGACATTGCGGAGGGAGAGCGAGGACAGCGCCAGGGCTCAGACCAGAGAGATAGACAGTGGGTGGTGGAGGGACAGACCAACAGGGAAAGAAATAAGGCTAATAGGAGAAGTCCTAGCAGCTCCCACAGGTACAACCCTTACTGTGCGTGGGGCATCAGCCTAAACCTCTGCGAATTAAAACATTTCACCTTCAGAACAGCCCTAGGAAAGAAGGACTCTATGCCCATTTGACAGATGAGGAAACTGAGGCTCAGGAGGGTATGTGAGGTGCCCTCAGTAAGGCTGGGCAGAGCGGGTTTGGAGCCCCGGAGTGACACTTCTGAATGCACCTCTTCCCCCCTGGGGGTCTGGGGAGGGACCAGCTCCTCACCTCCACGAAGACGAAGCAGGGAATGATGGAGAAACTCCTCTTCAGCTGCGGTCTCCCTCCCGCCATGGCGAAGGCCGGGCCTGCGGAGGCGTGAGGGAGTGGGGCCACCAGGGCCCGGCCTAGGGGGAGGCTCGGGACACCCGCCTCGGTGGAGTCCTCTGGCCACACCCACTAGGAGCCATGGCCCCGCCCCCTAAGCCTTCTGGCCACGCCCCTGCCCATTGGAGGCTCCGGCCTCCCCTGAACAAGAGGCTCGGCTCAGCCTCTTCCAGGGACCCCACAGATTCTCTAGCAGTCTTCTGCTCTCACAGCCTACATCAGAGATTCCCACCCCATACCCTTCAGGAGGGTCTGTCCTCCTTACCAAGCGGGACCCCTCCCCTTGCCTTTTTTCTTTTTTCCTTAAAGATTGGCACCTGGGCTAACAACTGTTGCCAATCTTTTTTTTTTTTTTTTAAGGATGGCACCTGGGCTAACAACTGATGCCAATCTTTTTTTTTCTGCTTTATCTCCCCCACCCCCCCCCCACCCACACACACACAGTTGTATATCTTAGTTGCATGTCCTTCTAGTTGTGGGGTGTGGTACGCCGCCTTAACGTGGCCTGACGAGCGGTGCCATGTCCGCGCCCAGGATCCGAACTCTGGGCCGCCGCAGCGGAGCGCGCGAACTCAACCACTCGGCCACGGGGCCAGCCCCTCCCCCTTGGGCTTTTGAAGACCTCCAGCTTAATGGGGACCTCTCCTCCACACAGAAGGGTCCCTTTAAAAGGGTCCTCGCCCCCACTGGTTTTTAGGAGACCCCATCCTCTTTCCCCACGCATTTTACAGGGGACCCCATGCTGTGTCCCCCACCCCCACCAGGCCCCTCCCCCATGGCCCACAGGCGCCTCTCTCTCCAGTCCCCATGGGCTGTGCCTGACTGGTTTGGGCTGATGGCCAGGCCCTCCTTCTCTCCCAGCTGCCTCTCCCTCTCTCCCTCCCCCCCTCCTCCCAGCCCGTCTGCCTCCCTGGATCACGAGGGGGCTATCTCCCCCCCACGTGCTCCCCCCTCCCCCAAGTCCAGCAGTGAAGGGCCAACACAGTCACACCTGCTTGACCCATTCTCCCAGCTGCCCTCACCTGTGAAAGGGCCCTATGGCTTCCCACAGGCCACTGCCGCCACACCCACAGACTCACAGCCGCTCCTGGCGGCCAGCAGGACAGGGATGGTCACCCCCATTGCACAGACGTGCAACCTGAGGCCCGGGCAAGTGAGGGCAGGCACTCTGGGTCCAGTGCCCCATCCACGCAGCTTGCTCTGTGGCATGACATAAGCGGTGAGGGTCACCAGAGATCCCAGGTGCCCACCTGGCCACGGCCCCCTTACCCTCCCAGAGACACAATCACACACACTGACACCCCCAGAGTACACAACTCAGCCACAGCCTCCATCCCAAATACCACACTCACAGCACAGTGTGCACACAGCCTGTCACTGGTCACTGACACCCACACAGATCAAACAACTACTCCCCCCCACACACACAGTCACAGGGACACAACAAGAGGTCCTTCACACACCTCGCAGCCCCACATCCGGTCCCCACAAGCCCTCACCCCACCACCATGAGGGACATAGACTCAGGGCTGCCAACACACTTAAGAGTCACATCAGAAAGAGTCACCACACACAATGGGGGTCATAGAACTGGTCACAGTGTCACACCCCCAATTACAAGACACTCAATGATAGCCACACATGTTAAGTCTCTCGTCCACACTGATAGTCATAGGAGAGACACGGTGCCATCTACAACCACAGCCACATGGCCAGCCAAGGGCACATACGTGGACCATGACACCGACTCACACACAGAAGCCACCCAGCCACACAAGAAAGGTGCATGATCACAGGCATACACTAGAACACAAAAACGGCCCCCCACCCTCAGAAGGAACACACAACAGCAGCCACATCACGACAGTCATAGGCACACAGCCACAGAGACACCAAGACAGCCACACAATCACAGTGAGAGCAGTCACACAACACAGACACACACACCAGCACGGTGACACCCACGGCGACAGCCACACAATGACAGCCACACACACACCACACGGACACCCCCCGAAGCCACACAATGACAGTTACACAACCACACACTGACACCTAATGACAAGCACATAATCACAGTCACCCTCCCCACCGCCGCCTGGCTTCTCAAGCCCAGGGTCCCCTCCGCACGCTCCCCTCCCCCAGCCCGGGGTCCCCAAGCCTCAGCTCGCCGCCTCCCCTCCCCCGCCTCGCGCTGGACCCTCAGGGGACCGACCCGCAGGAACCCAAACCCGGGCAGACAGACAGACAGACAGACCGGAGTCAGAAGCCCGCCAGAGGGGATGGGGGTGGCGCCCCAAGCCCCTCCCCCTCACCGGATCGAGGCTGCCGCCGCGGAGCCCCGACTCCGCCTGGACAGCCCCGGCGCGGCGGGACGGACGGACAGACAGCCGACCCAGCGGGCGGACGCGGACGCGGAGACGCCGAGGGCCCGTCCGCCCGCGCCGCGCAGACTCCGCGGCCGCCCGGGGGGCGGGGCCTCCAGGCGCCTTATTTGCATAGCCCCGTGGGGCGGGGCCTCGCCGCGAGTCATTAGCGTAATCCGGGGCGGGGCCTCGGCTGCTCTGGGGGGCGGAGCGTGTCAGAAAAGATTCCGGTGAGAATGAAAGAACGGAGGTTGAGACGGAGGATCTTGGGTGGGGAGGAGGCTGAGGGGACGAGGAGGGCGGGGCGGCAGAGCAAGACCTCCTCGGAGCTCAGTTTCCCCACTTGGGCAGTAGGGGCAACAAGCCAGATCGCCACGGCCCTCCAGAAAGGAAGGCTGGTGGCTAATGTGGAAGAGCCTGTCTGGTCCCTCATACCTGGACAGATTGCCCTCTGACCTTGTCATAGACTAAATCTGGCCTCACACTGTCCCTTGACCCTAGGCCCATGCATCCCAAACAGCTCCTGGGGTCTCTGCACGCTCCCCAACACTGGGGAGTAAACTGGGGGGAGGGGGGTCGTTCCCAGGCACAGGAAGCAGCAGGAGCAACGGCCCACGGGTGGAGAAGGGTCTCGGCTAGTTTATTTTCTCTCTGAGGGGTCTTCGGGGAGAGCAGTCCCGGCTGCTCAGGCTGCGGAGAGAGAGGGTGGGTCAGAGCCTGCCCGGTCCAGGGGCCCCCAGGGCTGGAGGTCAGGGAGCAGGTGCCCAGGCTGGGAGCTGGGAGGGTGCAGACTGGGATCCCAGGGTAGGACAGGAGGGGCAGGTTGGGGTGGGGCCGAGGAGGCTGCACACCAGGCGGGAAGCAGCGGCTCTTGCTGAACGGCTGGGAAGGGTCCGGGTCGGAGTCGGAGTCGGAGTCCCAGGAGGGGCGTGGAGGGCTCAGGCAGCGGTGCCCCTTGTAACCTGCAGGAGGGGCAGGTGTAATTCTGACCCTGCACGCACTGACCCTGAATATGACCCTTGAGTGACCTCTGAATATAAACCAGTGTCCCTTGAATGTGACCGAGTGTGACAGCCAAGTATGACATCAGTGACCCTTGAATTTGACCCCACTGGTCTTTAAAAAAGATCCTAGTGACCCTGAGTGAGCCCCGGATGAAGCCGCCAGGGACTCCGTAAAGTGATCCCAGAATAAGACCCAACAGACGTGACCCCCAATATGGCTTCTGAACAGGACCTCCGTGCATGAAGCTGGAGGCTGACCCCTCACCTCTGAGGCTCGAGGCCCTGGGGCAGCCCCCCGAGGACAGGGTGAGGCCGTCAAAGGAGTTCTGCAGCACGTGAACAGCGGACCTGCGGGCAGAGGGGGAGCTGGGGCCGAGGGGGAGACTCGGCTGTTGAGGCCTGGGGCAGGGGGCTGCGGTGGGGACAGAGGGGGAGGGGAGTCTTGGGAGGAGAGCGAGGTCTGGACTCTGATGGGTTCCAGGTTTGGGTGGTCGCTGCTTGATCTGACTCGGGGGAGGGCAGGGCACATGAGGGTCAGGGGTCAGAGGTGAGGGTGGGAGCTGGGCATCACCATATGTCACTCAGCTCCTTCTTGAGGTCATCCCTCCAGGAGCCATTGCCTCCTGGAGGCATCTCCTCAGTCTCCGGCCAGTTGGATGCCTCGTACCCCTGCTGCTTCATCTTGGTCAGGACCTGGGGCACAGGGGATGAGAGAATAGCAAGAGTAATGACGACGATGGTGACAGGTGACCATGCCATGCACTCGTTACATGCAGCTGCCCCTTCAGGTAGGGATGTGTCGTTATGACCATTCTACACATGAGGACATTGAGGCCCAGAGATGTGAAGAGGCTTGCCCACAGTCACATAGCAGTAAGTGGCAGAGCTGAGATTTGAACCCAGGCCTTCTAGCTCCAGTCCGATGGTGGAGGCCGGCAGAGATTCCCCCCTGCCAGCTCATGCAGGGTCCCCGTCCTCTCCGCTCACCTTGCGGCACTTCACCTGGTTCTTCTGCATCTTCTGGATGTTCAGCAGGTTCTCCGTGATCTCCTCCTCCTGCGTCTCTGTGGGGGGAGGGGACTCAGGGGGGCCGGGGCCACAGAAGCACCCCCCTCCCGGCTGTTGGCTCCGGGCACTCACGAAGCTTTTGATAGATGAAGGTCACCTCCTCCCGCACCAGCTCCAGCTCCTCCCACAGGAACTTCTTGCTGAGGGGACAGTGCAGCCTAGACCCATCCTCCCAGCCCGGCCCCTGGCCTCCAACATCCTGGCCTCCTGGCCTCTCATTTGCCCACTTATCTCCTGAAGTCTCCTCTACCTCCTATGCTCCCATCTGTTCAACCACTTGTCCCCCAGGCTCTGTTTCCTCTTCCGACCTGCTCACCCACCTTTCCCCTCCTACTAGTATTCCTCCAACTCCAAACCCCCCAGCCCCCTGTCCTCGCCTCCTGACCTCCAGCCTCCTGTTCCTTTGACTCCCATCTCCCCCCGACCTCCCATACCCCCAGCCTCTGCCCCCCTCAACCTTCCCTCCCTCCAGCTTCCCACACCACCCCCGGCTTCCTGATCCCCTGGCCTCCCTCCCCACCCCACCTCCAGCCTCCTGTCTTCCCTGCCTTCTGGCCACCCAGTCTCCCACATCTCACCCACTGCCTCCTGTCTCCCTCCATCCCTTCCTTGGCCCCCCAGGCTCCCTTCCCCAGGCCTCTCTCCATCCCGCCTCCCCCTCCCCCTCCCTGGCCTCCCTTTCCTGCTGCAACCTCCAGGCCGCCCTCCTGGCGAGGCCCACCTGTCCCGGATCTCCTGGGCCAGCAGCTGCAGGCAGCGCGTGGTGCGGGCCCTCTGCACCTCCTCGCTCTCTCGGAGGGTCTTCTGAAGCCCCTGCAGGCCTTGCGCCAGGGCCCCGTACAGCTCCTGCTGTCCCTGCTCCATGCCCCACTTGTGTCCCTCCTTGCCCGGCTGACGGATCGTGGCGCCCAGCACCTCTGCACATTGGGTAAGACCTTGCCTGAGCCCAAGCACAGCCCGAGCCGAGCTTTCAACCCAGTCTGCCCTAACCCTGGCCAGACCCCGGCCCTGAACCCAGGCTCTGCCACTTCCCTCGCCCTCACCCGGCTGGCCTGGACAGGACCGGCCTCCAGCCTGCCCTCGGCCCTGGGCAAGTGCTTACCTTCAAGCTGTTGGATCTTGATTTGCTGCAGACAGCTCTCTTTCTCCAACATGGTCACCGAGTGGTTGAGGAACTCGAAAGCCTTAGGGGAAGAGGTCAGGCTTGGGGGCAGGAGTGGGGTGGGGGGGCAACAGGGGCAGAGGTTGCCAAGGTGGGGCCCAGGCGGCTCACCTTGGTCTGGGCCTGTAGCTGGCTCTTGAGTGACTCCAGTTCGCACCGCAGGAGCTTCTGGGCATCAGGAATCATCGCAGTGGACTTAACTGTGGGCAGAGGTGAGGGTCAACGGAGGCTGGGAGGGGTGGGGGCAGGGGCAACGGCAGGGCAGAGGTCAGCAGAGGCTCAGGGTAGGGAGCAAGTTTAGGAGTGAGGGTCCATCGAGGCTGAGTAGAGGCAGGAATAGGAGTCAAAGTCGGGGACAATGATGGAGGGCAAGGTCAGGGGCAAGAGTCAGCTGATGAACGAGTGGCAATGGCAGAGGCCTGCCAACATTGGGGCAGAGGGTGGAAGTAGGAACAGGCAGGCAGTCTTGTTGAGAGGAAGGGTCCTCACCTTTGATTTTGGAAGAGCTGCTCTCCAAGGGCTTCTAGAGAAGGGGGGCAGTAGAAATTCATCCCTGGCTGCCTCTCCACTCACCCCAACCCAGCGTGGGGCTGTTGCACAGGAGTTGGGGCTGCTGAGTTCTGAGTGTCTCAGACCCAGAGTGCAGCCAAAGCTGCCTCTAGGCACATACATGCACCCCCCTGGCCTGCACATGCTCAGAAGGGCACTTGTGTGGCTTGTCCCCTTTGTGTGTGGGCCTGTGGGCTGCCCATGACAGCACACACCTGTGGAGCCCCATCTCTTATTTGGGCTCCTACTTAGGGGCAAATGACATCAACAACGTTTCCAGGGGACAGCAATAGTGCCTGACACACATCCACACACGGTCATTGAAACACAACCATCTCCACAACCTCAGACACAACCGTGCAGGCTAAGTCATAAGACCCAGAGCATCCACTCACACCCATCTCAGACACACAATCACAACCACACAGACACACAGACAGTGACACCCAGAGATCAGACACACGATCACACATCTGTTCTATTCATTCCTTCATCTACGCATTTAAGACATTTTCAATGCCGGCCTGCTGAGTGCTGGGTGCTGTTCTGGGCGCTGAGGACACACCATGTGAGGGTTCTTGAGGAAGACACCCCCCCGGCCCCACACCCTCCTCCAAGCCCTACAGCAGTGGATTGTGGTGCAGCAGGAAAGGGTTTCGGGGTAGGGGTGACCTTAGCGACGACGCTGTGATGTCTCTTCAGAAGGTCCTGGTCATTAGAGTGCTCCTGTGGGTCTGGGTCGGGGAAGGGGGAAGCCTCACGTGACTGCGACCTCAAGTCCCTCCCTGGCTTCCAGTCTACGCTGGTCACTGTGTCCTCAGAAGCAGCCGGCCCCAAGGCCTCCGGCTCTGAGGTCCTAGACCAGTGGATGGTATAATCCAAGGTCTTGTCTGAAGAAGAACCTGGGGACGGGGGGCTTCCTGAAGGCCAGCGCAGAGGACTCCAGGTCCTCCCAGCTCCCCACTCCCCAGGGCAGTCCCTCAACGAACCCAAGTACTTGTCACACTTCCTGTTAGCAGGTGAACCCACGTTGGAGGGAGAGAGAGGGCAGCAGTAGAGAGGCCTGGAGAAGTCTGGGTCCTGCGGTAGGCCAGCCAGAAGGGGGTTGCTTCCAGTAGAGGGGACAGGAGGCTGCCCTGAGATGAGCCCCCATGTCCTGACACTCCCAGACCCTCCCTAGCGCCCCAGAGAGGCCTCGGCCCTCAACACAGGGCCTCCCAGTTAGGGTAGGAGCCCGAGCTGAGCCAGATGGAAGAGGATCTCAGCCCCAGGGGTTGGGTTGGGCAGTTAGAAGGACCCAGAAGACCCCACAGGAGGAGGTAAGGCCTCAGAAGAGCCTACAAGAAAAAAGGGATCTTAACGTTGAGCCCGAAAGGAAGGGAGCTCCTGGCAGGAGGCAGCCTGTGCCGAAGCTGGTAGGTGTGGAACCACGTGCCCTGTGTTGAGAAATTCAGGATGGTTGGAGGCAGGGCCAAGAGGAAGTGGCAGGAGGTTTGCAGGCCAGCACAAGTGGGCAGTGAAAGCCAAGCTGGGAAGTCTGGCCCTGGCTCCCCAGGTAGATGGGAGCCATAGAGTGTGGGCAGGAGAGGTAGGACATAACTATTCAATAAATGTTAGCTGAATGGAGGCCCAGGCCTGTGCTAGGTGAGGCTGGGAACAGGAAAGAACTCAGCTCTGGGTCTCACGTCCATACCCCTTGCCCTTGTTGTGAGGGCTGGCACAGATGGACAAAGCTGGGGCAGGTCTGCCTGGAAAAACTTTCATCCAGGTGAAGGGCATCTCGCCCTAGGTCACAGTCAGTCAGAAAGGTCACACTCTAGGCCCTTCTCCTCTTCTTCCCTTGCTGGGCTCTCTAGTATCCTTCCCCTGGCCCAGCCCTCCTGGAAGACTCGTATGTACCCTTCAAAACCCTACTTAGCATCTCCTCGGTAAAATCTTCTAGGCTACCCCTTCAAGAGTCACTGCCTCAGGGAGGCCCTTCCTTTCAGTGAGCATGTACAGCATGATGATTAAGCAAGGAGACCCTCCAGCTGGCTGGCCTGGGTTCAAATCCTAGCTCTGCCCCTTCCTAGCTGTGTGATATTGGAGGAGTTATTGAACCTCTCTGATGCCTCCCCAACTAGAAAAATGGGATGTCATACTATCCACCTTACTGGGTTGTTGTGATTAAGTAAATTAATCCATGCCATCAATGTTTGTCCTTGTTTGTCACGCTGAGAACCTGGGACCTGGGGAGGATAAGAGCCCTGGGAGGCTTAGAGGGGAAAAGGGAAGCGCATTTCTGAACGCCACCTGCAGGCAGGTCCCAGTCGAGCCCCCCTCCTCGACCGGCATCCGCCGTTCCTCCCGAAGTCCCTCCCGGGGGAATTCGGGGAAGGGGGCGGGGTCATTGGCCTGGGCCCCGCCCCCGGGGCCGTGAGTCCTGAGCCCGCCAGGCTCCCCACTCCCTTCTACCCGCACCTACCACATACCACCTGCTCATGCTGTCCCATCAGGGACCGCGAAGCCAGCCCCCAGCTGTGACGCTGAAATTTGATCCCGTGGGGACACCATCGCACCGCGCGCGGAGCCCAAAGGCAGAGTCACAGAGAGGGGTGTGGCCGGCATTTTAGCTCCGCCCCCCCGATGCAGCCCCAGGCCTCATTGGCGCCTTCCCGCTTCCGCTGCTCTCAGAGCCGCGGTGTAATTGGATAAAAGCCCACGAGGGGGCGGGCCCCCAGGCTGGCTTCTGCTAGTCGATTCGTCAATATCTAAGAGGCGGTACAGGAGGTGGCAGATCTACAATCCGATTGGCTTCGGGCTTAGCTGGGAGGCGGGACGAGTTCTTGGTCCCACGAGGGGAGGTGGCGGAGGAGGGCCGCGGGCCACCCGGGAGCGCGGGAGTGAGGCCCCGAGCCCAGTCCGTCTGGCCCCCCGGATTCGGCCTCTGGTCTCGGACTCCTGGGTGCTGCGAGTTGAGGTCCAGTAGTGGGGTCGGGTCCCCGGCCTGAGATGTGGCGTGTCCCAGGATTGGATGGGGTCTCCGGGGGTGCTTTGGGGTCTTCGTGGCGATAGCTGCGATCCTGTTGGGAGAGCAGGGGTCTGTGCTGTTAGAACTGGGTCGCCGGGGTGATATTTGGGAGTCACTGGGGTGATCTCTGAAGACGTAGGGCTGCAAGCTTAAGTTTCTGGGGCTGAAATTGGGGGTTTCGGAGGTGGCATGGATGCTGGGGTCCAGAGAGCCTGAGATCTTGGGGGCTGCCATTGGGAGAGATGGGGTCGGGGGTTGTCACAGGACTGCTCTGGGTCTTCCCAGCCCCCATTCTTGGGCTGTTGTCCCTGGATCTCTGCTGGATTGGCCGCGACACTTGCAGGCTCACAGGGTCTGAAGGCCACGGGGCAAAGGTCAAGCTCTGAGCCAGCCGCTGCCTCCTTCCCAGGCCTGCAAGATGGAGGATGGCGGGAGCTCGGGGAGCCTGACTCAGGTGGTCCACCTACTGGTCTTGTCAGGGGCCTGGGGCATGCAAATGTGGGTGACCTTCGCCTCAGGTAGGGACCCTCGGCCTGGACAACATGGGTACCGGGGTGGGGGCAGGACTGAGAGGGGGACCTGGAATTATCCTAATAGGCGTGTGATCCCCTGCCCCCCACAGGCTTCGTGCTTTTCCGAGCCCTTCCCCGACATACCTTCGGCCTCGTGCAGAGCAAACTCTTCCCTTTCTACTTTCACATCTCCATGGCCTGTGCCTTCGTCAGCTTCTGCATCTTGGCTCCACAGCGAGCCTGGGCTCAGCTCACATTCTGGGAGGCCAGCCAGGTATGCGGGCTTAGGCTCCACTACCCTCTGGGGACTCGTTCCCAGGACCCCACTGAGCACTTCCCGCCACACCTTTGTGAGAATTAAAAAAAACAAAAAGTGCCCCTTCTCCCTGGTGGATGCAAAGCTGGGCTATGGATACCCTTGAGCAGTGAGCAGCCTGCACAACCATCCCCAGCAGCCATATCTGTCCCCCAGTGTCCGGCTGGCTGCTGCTCCCTCTCTTCCCTGTGGCTGGGCCTGCTGCCAAGCTGTGGTGACTCAGCTGGGCTGGGGCACTGATCCCGGGTCATTGTTTAAAAACCAGCCTGACTGGGAATTTACAGTTCCCTACCCCCATCCACACATTTTCTCGGCCACAAGGCAAGGACCCCATCTCTGCGTCTAGTGTTTCTCTATCCTGCCCTCCCCGGTCCCCATTATATTCCTCAGATGTGGGCAGGGGAGGCCGTCAGGTGTTTTAAAAATAATCCCACAGGGACAGGAGAGGCTTATGGGTAACTGGAACTTCGAGGACTTTTTATTCACTCCCTGGGCTCCCAGTGTCAGCTTCTGGGGTCAGGGCTGGGGCCCCAGAGGAGACCGGCCCTGCCTTAGGCTGTTTTAGGGGAACGAGGGGATGGTCATGGTGCTCTGTCTCAATTTGGGGAAGAGGTTCTGCCCTGAGATACCCTCAGTTTGGGGGAACAGAGGCAGGGAGGAGAAACTTCTAGTGTGTTCTGGAAACTTCTAGGTGGGCTATCAGAGGAGAGGATACTCATCAGGTTTTGGGGGCTAAGAGGTGACAGCAATGACTCTGTTCGGGGCCCCTAGGCTGGGTTGGACCCAGTGCTGTCCCGCATCCCTCTCTGGGCTTTGAGGATGCAGAAGGACCCCCCCAGGGCCCCTCGTGCCTCCCAGGCGTGGCTCACCTGTCCTCCTCCCCCACCCCCGCCAGCTCTTCCTGACGCTCCTGAGCCTCACGCTGGCCACCATCAACGCCCGCTGGCTGGAGCCCCGCACCACGGCCGCCATGTGGGCCCTGCAGACCGTGGAGAAGGAGCGCGGCCTGGGCGGGGAGGTGCCGGGCAGCCACCAGGGCGCCGACCCCTACCGCCAGCTGCGGGGGCAGGACCCCAAGTACGCGGCCCTCCGCCAGATCTTCTTCCAGTACCACGGGCTGTCCGCCGTGTGCAATCTGGGCTGCCTCGTGAGCAACGGGCTCTGTCTGGCGGCCCTGGCCCTGCGCCTTGGGAGCCTGTAGCAGCCACTGTCCGTCTGTCCCCCGATGCTGGGGCCCCCGATGGCAATAAACGCTTCTTTGGAAATGGTGCTGTCATTTTTCTCCAACAGGGAAGCACGGGGAGGGGCAAGCCAGAGTGGAACTGAGGGGGCGGGGGGGCTCGGTTTCCCTATTCGCGGCGCGAATATTTGGAGTTTCCGCTCTTTCAGCCCCCAAGCTCCTCCTATAACGTTGAGCACCTGCTGTGTGCCAGGCGCGGCGCTAACCACTGCACTGCCACGTAAATCAGAACAATAGCTAGTCCTGATCCCTAGGGGACAATCGGATTTCCCACCCCATGGATATCGGGGGTGGCCCTGTGACTTGCTTTGGCCAATAAGATGTGAGCAGAGGCAACTCAAGTCGCTTCCAGAGAGAAGTGTCCCAGCCAGCGCGGGATTCACCACATTTTCCTTTCGCGACAATGACCAGTGTGAGGGACAGGCAAACCTTGGATGGGGGGGCCGTGGAAGCTTGGGGGCTGCTCGTCACTGGACATATGCTGGTCCTCCCTGACTGACGCCCGTCATCGCGGTTCATCCGCGCGCCAGCCCTCGGAGCGGCTACTGTTGTTCCCTTCCCATGAAGCAATGGGGCTCAGAGGAGCTCAGCAAGTGGCTTCAGGAGGAATCGGTGGATTGGAGCCCCAGCAGAGTCTACACTGTTATAACTGCAGAGCCTCTCCTGCTGGCTTGAAGGAAACCCTAGGACTACGACTGGGCCTGAAGGCCAAATTTCCTTGCAGTGTGGCCTCAGGCAAGGGGCTGCCCTTCTCTGATCCTCAGTTTCCTTATCCGTAAAAGGGGGGTTAATTCTAAAGACCTTTAAGATAATATTTGGCAAAAGGGTGTAGCCCATTGCCCTTTGCAAACACTAACTCAGAGCAGAATCCCCACACAACCCTGTGAGGTGGGGGATCTTGTTCTGGACCCCTTGACAGTTGGGGAAACTGAGGCCCAGAGAGGTTAAGTAACACGTCCAAAGTTGCAGAGCCCTTAGAAACACTGCCCTTTGCAAACGGTAACTCAGATCAGAACCTCCACACAACCCTGTGAGGTGGGGGATCTTGTTCTGGACCCCTTGATAGATGGAGAAACTGAGGCCCAGAGAGGGTACATAACTTGTCCGAAGCGATCGAGCTAGAAAGTGGCCTAGCTGGGATTCGAACCTGGCTCCACAGTCCACGCTCTTAACTGCTGTGCACACAGGGGCTCTCCATCGAGTCCGGAAAAATGAAATGTTTGGGGGGCGGGCTACAGACGCTGCCTGCGCCCCGCCCCTCCAGCCCCGCCCCCGCCTCCCCAAGCCCCGCCCCCGCCTGGGCGGAGCCGGCGCGGGATCCGGGTGTCTGCGGCGGCGGCGGCGGCGGCGGCGGCTGCGGGGTAGGGGTCGCGGCCAAGATCTGGCCGCAGCGAGTTCGGAGGCGGAAGGCCCGCGGGCAGCGCCTCCCACGCCAGGCGACCCCCAGGAAGGGCGCTCCCCCTGCCCCGCACCTCCGCATCGCAGCAGGTCTGGGGGGGGGCAGGGGGCTCGGGGAGGGCCCGGGGCCTGGGAACAAAGGCGGGCGGCAGGGGACGCCTCTCCCCTCGCCCCCAGCCGGCTGGGCTCCTCCGGGAGCGTTCCTGGGGCGCGGGTGGGGCGGGGAGCGCAGCTGGGGACTGGAGACGGGACCATATGGTGATGGGAGCAGGCCCCTGCGCGCCCCTGCACCGGCTGGGGCGCCCCGGAGCCAGCGGATGGGGACAGGGCCGGGCCCGCCGGGGCCCCTTCCTTAGGGCCAGGCGCGAGGGGGGTCGGCAGATGGTCAGAAAGAGGTGGGCCCGGCTGACAGGTGGGGTGGGGCGGGGCGCCCATCCTGGCGGCCCTGCCCAGCATGGGGAAAGTCTTCCTGCCTTTTCTCTTCCCCCGCCTCGAGCTCGTTCTCCCGGAACCCGGGGTGGGGCCAGGGCTGGGCAGGAAAGGGGGGCCGACTGGGTCCTCCTTTAAAATGGAAAAAAGCCCCACGGGCCGTTGAGAAAGAGCTTGGCCAGGGGTTCCTCTGCTGGGGTTCCCTCTGCGCACCCAGGCCTTCTGGAGCTTTCCTGGGTGGCTCGGGGAGCAGCCATAGATCAATGGGGAAACTGAGGCCTCGGGAGGTAGTGAGGGCTGACGAGGGGGGTCCTGGACCCAGATGAAGCAGCCCAGCTGTGGGGACAGATGCCAGGAAGGGAAGGACCAGGGGTGGCCGTGGGGTTCATGGTCACTAGGTGGCTGGGGTGGCTTCCTTCCAGTCGAGGACCATCACTCCAGCTTCCATGGGCTGGAGCTGGGGTGAGTCAGCTCTGTCGGGAGGGAGACGGCCCGGCCCCTTTGACAAACAGAAGGTGGCAGTACCCATTGTCCCACTGTAGGGTATAGCTAGGCTTTATACTTGGGCTGTGTCCCCTGAAGCCCCCTCCCCATCATGGGGGTCAGGGAAGGGGTTAAACTTGGCTGGGGTGGGGGCAGGGCAGGCACCCAGGTGGCCCACACCTGCCAAAGTCAACAGGCAGGCCCCGAGGGGGGGCTCTTTCCAGCTGGCAGCCCCCCTCCCCCAGCTCACACCTGGGCCACGCCAGCTGCTCACCCGGCCAAAGTCCACACCGGCACCGTCTGCAGGGGCTGCTTCCTCAGCGGCCAGAGGAGGCACCCCATGCGCGCCCCCCACCCCCCAACCTGGGTTCTTGCGTTTGACGAACATCCCCATTTTCCAGAGGCCACTGAGGCCCAGAGAAAGCAAGAATGTGTCCGGGGTCACTTGGCCTCCAAGTGGCAGAGCTGGGGTTTGAACCCAGGTCTGCTGTATCCCCTGAAGCCGTTTGGGGTGTTTTATCCTTCCCGGGGCTCCCCCCTGCGCCCCCTGAGCATTTCAGGCCTCCCCGCAGGAGGCTTCCTGCCAAGATGGCGTCGGCTGGAGACCCCCCGACGGGCCCCCGGGATGCCGCAGACCAGAACTTCGACTACATGTTCAAGCTGCTGCTCATAGGCAATAGCAGCGTGGGGAAGACGTCCTTCTTGTTCCGGTACGCCGACGACTCCTTCACGCCCGCCTTCGTCAGCACCGTGGGCATCGACTTCAAGGTCAAGACCGTCTACCGCCACGACAAACGGATCAAGCTGCAGATCTGGGTGTGCCGGGGGGCCTGCCCGTGGGTCTGTGGCTGCAGAGGGCCTGCGGTTCCCCCGGGGATGTCCGCGTGAGGGCATGGGGCTGTGGGGAGGGGCCCCGAGTGAGGGAGAGCCGCCCGGAATTGGGGAGGGGGCTTGGGTTCCATGTGGAGAGTAGGGGGTGTTATCCACCAGGAGGAGGGCCTATGCTCTGCCCCCTGGGGTCCGAGGGGGACAGTGCTAGCCCAAGGCAGGTTAGACGTCCTGGTGACCATCAGGGAAGAGGTTTGGGTACCATCTCAGGGGCCCCATTGAGCCTGCCTTGTCTTCAGAGCCACCCCCTTCCCCACCCAGCTGCTAACTGTTGTCATGGTAACTAGCATCACTCCAGCTGCATCACCATAGCACCCTCTGGCCCAGGTGGCTCTTGTTTGTAGTCATTAAGTTCTTGGAAATGGGGTGAAGGGGGCTTATACCTCTGTGAGAGGCCTCTGACCCCTCAGCCTGGGACCCCCTCAAGGGCAAGGCCACCATCAGCCTGGGGCTGTGAAGACAGGTCCATGCCTCCACCCTCAGACTGGGGCTGTGGGCACAGGTTGGTGCCCCCCTCAGACAGGGCCCTGCAGGCCAGGGGGGACAGAGAGGGTGGCTTCCGGCAGCCTGACCATGCTGTCTGCCCAGGACACGGCGGGCCAGGAGCGCTACCGGACCATCACCACAGCCTACTACCGCGGGGCCATGGGCTTCCTCCTCATGTACGACATCGCCAACCAGGAGTCCTTCACCGCCGTGCAGGACTGGTGAGTGCTTGCTGACCCCTGACCCCCTGACCTTTGTCCTTTCCCCCCAACCCTTAATTCCTGGCCTAACGCCCCTCCAACTCCACAGGGCCACGCAGATCAAGACCTACTCTTGGGACAACGCCCAGGTCATCCTTGTGGGGAACAAGTGTGACTTAGAGGACGAGCGTGTCGTGCCCACCGAGGATGGCCGGAGGCTCGCCGATGACCTTGGTTAGTGCCCACCCTGGACCTCCCAGAACCAAACCCCCATCCCCACCCTCGGGGCCCAGGTCCAACCACAGTCAACAGCCCTTTGCCCTTTGAAGATGTGCCCAGAGAAATAGCCACATGGAGGCCACCTTCTCCATTTAATTTCAGGGCATTCACCCACAGATAGCCCCCAACACACACTGCCCTGGGAACCCAGACTCAGCAAAACCATTTCTGGAAATTTACGAACAGCCACACCCATGTGGGAAGTCGTGAATAAATCAAATTGCAAACTGTTAGTAGAAGGGAACCTTGGCAACCCCCCAGACATCTCGCAGTGGAGGAAGCAGCCAAGCATAAAGTATAGTTCCACCATGGAATACTACGCAGCCGTGACAAAGGACGAGGGTGTTCTTTATATTCTCCTATGGCAAGATCCCTGGGCTATATGGCTCAGTGGAAAAAGCAGAACAGAGGGTATGGCTGCTTCCTTTAGTCCAGGGGTCAGCAAACCTTTTTGTGAAGGGCCGGATAGGAAATATTTTCGGTCATAAGGTCTCTGTTGCAACCACTCAGCTCTGCCTGAGAGCAGCCGTAGAGAATGCATCAATGAGCGAGTGTGACGGTGAGCCTGTGAAACTTGATTTACAAAGGCGGGCAGTGGGCCAGGTTTGGCCTGCGGCTCAAAGTTTGCCAACCCTGCATTAGTGTATAAAAAGGGAGTAAGAATGTATACTTAGATTTGCCTAAAGAAACTCCAGAAGGATACAGAAAGTTCTAGTAAGAGCAGTGACCTGTGTGTCTGAGAACTGGGAGGTGGACTTCTCAGTCCAAGTTTTTGAATCTAGTGAATGGATTATCTATTCAAAATTTAAGCTAAACAAAAATGTTATCCTGGAGTGTTCTAGTATTCTAGGCCCTTCCAGGA